GGTGCAGAGCGGGAATCTGGGCACCCAGCGGCAGCGCCCCGTCTAGGGTGCAGGTGGGGGCCCGGCGGGGCTCCGGGAAGTTGGCGCAGGCGAAGGGGTCCGCGTCCTCTAAGTACTGCACCCTCACCGTTACCGCCGCCGCCTCGCTGTCCTCCCGGCCATCCCCACCCGCCATGGCCCCCGCCGCCAGCTCGATCAGCTCGGCTCGGCCGCCTCCCTTCGGGCCCGAGCCTGCGGATCTTCTCAGCAGCCTGGGCTGGAAGGACAGCACAGAGCTGAGGGGGAAAGGGGCGGGGCGAGAAAGGGGGCGTGGCGCATGAGGGGGCGTGGCGAGGAGGCGAAGTTCTGGAACGCGGCGGCCAGGATCAGAGCCGAGGGGCGGAGCTACAAGTTAGCCAATCAGAGAACCAAGGTCTCACTACTCGAACGATCCGTTAGCTAGCTGGGCGGGGGTGGAGGTGGGGGGTGGAATATGGGAATAATGATCTCTCTAGCGAGCTCTGGGATTGGCTGTTTCTCCGCAGTCTGCGAAGATGGGGCGGGGCATTTTCTTCCTCTCTCTAGGGATGGGTGGGGGATGGTTCTCCTCAGCTTGGGGGGAGGGGGAAGGGGACTAATTCTCCCTCTGTAATGGGTGGAGTGGAGTAGGTTCCTCTCAGTCGTGTGTGTGTGAGTGTGTGTGAGTGTGTGTGTGTGTGTGTGTGTGTGTATGAGTGCTCACCCTCAAGGAGTTTATATTCTATTGGGGAAGACCACGTGCTCACAGATAAATATAAGATACACACACATATATACACACACAGATGCATATGTATATACATATATTGTTGTTCAGTCGTGTCTGACTCTTCGTGATCCCCTTCTGGGATTTTCTTGGCAAAGATACTGGAGTGTTTTGCTATTTCCTTCTCCAGCTTATTTTACAGATGAGGAAATTGAGGCAAACAGGGTGAAGTGACTTGCCCAGGTTCACACAACTAGTAAGTGTCTGAGGCTGGATTTGTACCGACTTCTGGCCCAGTGCCTATCCACTGTGCCACCTAGCTGCCTATAGTGTGTGTGTGTGTGTGTGTGTGTGTGTGTGTGTGTGTGTGTGTGTGTGTGTCTGTCTGTCTGTCTATATTTAAATGAACAGTACTGGGGAGGTACTAACAACTGAGAATCTTGAAAGAGGTAAATTGAAAAAGGAACTAGAGATTCCAAGACACAGAGGTGGAAAAGGAAGGCATGCGTTGTGTTGGGAGTGCAGCAAGTAGCCAGTTTGGCTGAATTATAGAGTGCTTAAAGGGAAACAAGGTGTAATCAACCCAGGATAGTCTGGAGTCAGATTGTAAGGGGCTTTAAATGCCAAACACACAAATTTGTAGTTTAATGTAAAGGCAATGAGTGAGCTTCTTCAGCAAGGTAGTAACCTGGTCAGAACTGCTCTTAAAACATTAATTTGGCAGTTGATGGGAGAATGTATTGGAGAGGGAAGAAACTAAATGTAGGGAGGTCAGAAGAGTTGATAAGAGCCTGGGCTAGGGTGATAATATAAGCAGAAAGGAGATGGATGGAGAGATGTTTAGGACCTAGAATCTACATATTTTGGAAACTGATTCAATACTGGTTGGTGGTCAGTATAAGAGTGAAGAAGGGTTGATGATGACTCCTAGGGTGTGGACCTGAGTGACTGGAAAAAATGTTGCTGTCTTTGACTATAATGAGGAAATTCAAAGAGGGGTGAGTTTTGGGAAAAGATGGTGAATTTTGCTGTAGACCTGTTGGGTTTGAGAGTCCTATGGGACATTCTCAGGATGATAACTGGTGACAGAGAATTAGGACTTAAAAGAATACTAGGCTAGGATATTTATATCTGAGGATCAGATGGCAATTGAACCAAAAGGAGCTTGGAGTGGTCACCAAATGAGAGAGTATAGAGAAAAATAAAAGAGGGCTGAGGATAGAGACTTAAGGTATAGCCACAGGAAATCATCCTGACGTGGATGATGACTGTGTAAAGAAGAATGTGAAGGAGATAGAAAGAGAACCAGGACAAAGTAGTGTCACAAAGACCTTCGGAGAAATAGAGAATGTAGGAAGAGAGGGTAGCCAAGGATGTCAAATCCAGAAGAGAGGTCAAGAAGGATGAGGATTGAGAAGTCATTGAATTTGGCAACTAAGAGATGGTTGGTAACTTTGGAATGAGCATTTTCGACTGAGTAATGAAATCAAGACAGATAGCAGAGGATTTAGAAGAGAGTGATAGGGAAGCAGTGAGGGCACATAGTTTAGACAGCTTTTTCAAAGAATTTGGTTGAAAAAGAGAAAAGAGACATAGCTAGCTAGACAAGTAGTGAGAATGGGGGGATCTAGGGAGGGTTTGATGAGTATAATGGAGATACTGATCAATGAAATATGAATCCTTAGAACATGTTCAGACCCTCTAAAGTAGCCCAGCTGAACTAGGGAATAATTTGTCCATCATGGAGGCAATACAGAAAGTGAATTTGGTGAGAACTCCAAGGAGGGAATTAAGGTTTTAAGGGGATTAAGGATTCCAGGTGTGCTGTGCATACTAGTATTTACATAGTGCCTGCTATGTGCCAGGCACTGTGCTAAGTGCTTTAGAAATATTATCTTCTTATTTGTTGTTCACAACAATACTGGGAGGTGCAATTATTATTAACATTTTACAGTTGAGGAAACTTGAGACAAACATAGCTTAAGTGACTTGTCCAGATCACACAGCTCATGAGTGCCTGAAGCTGGATTTGAACTCAAGTCTTCCTGACTCCAAGGCCAGTGCTCTGTCCACTGTGCCACTTAGCTGTCCCAACTACTTTTGTTGCTTTAAGTTTGAGCTCACTCTCCCTAGGAACTTTATGTGTGTGCAAGAGTAGAGTGGGCCCCTGGGGTTTGGGGGGGCAATTGTTTTTATAACTTCTGTCAGCTTTATACCTTTTTAGTAAATATTCCTTCATAAAAGCTAATTGATGTCAATTAATTTATTAATATTGAGGGAGCTGCAATGAATAGTATTAGAAGCCTCAAACCCTTTGGATTACCCCTTAGAACTCTAAGGGGAACAGTAACATTATCCCCTGGGGAACCTAACCTGACAGTGCAATTGAGTTAGATGAGTGGCCCCAGGATGGGATGTTTCATAGAGAATGGGAGAAAGGTGAGACTTGTAGGCAACAGGGAAGGAGCTAGTAGATTGGGAGAGATTGAAGAATAGATAGAGGAATGATAGTAGGAGCAATTTGCTGGAGAAGATATGAGGAAATGGGATCAAAGGTACATATAGTAGGCCTGGCTATGGTGAATAGCCTTACCTCTTCATTAGCGCTGAAATAACGTGTGTTATTGTCTAGGGGTTGTTTGGTGAAGGGGAGGAGAGAAGGGGAACTCTAGGCAAATGACCTTGCTTTTCTCTGTAAAATATGAGACCTCTGCTGAGAAGGTGGGGGAAGGGGATGCTCCTGGTTTGAGAAGAATCTGAGGGGTGAGGGGGAGGGCTGGGACAGATTCCTCAAATATTTAGTCAAATCCCCTTCACTGTTTTTTGAATGAGATAAGGACAACTATCTCCAGGCTGTTTTGACTGGAATGTGTAGATGAGGCAATCTGCTGAGTAGAGACCTTTGTAAGGACTCAAACATTTTGTGAATGAAACCTAGGTTCATATTCTGGCTGTGCCGTGCCCCCCTAGATCTGTGCTTCAGTGTCTTCATCTCAAAATGAGAGTGGAAGTGGGTTAACCTATGCTTTGTAGCTCTAAAATCGCTAGCTCTAGAATCAGTGATCTAAGGTTAGAAGTTATCCACAAAGTCCTCTGGTCCAACTCCCTCATTTACAGATGAGGACATTGAAGACTTTGGAGGTTTAGTGACTGGCACAGTGTCACAGAGGAAAGACTGGAGGAGAAGGGAGGAGATGGAGCATCCAGGTCTCCTTTACATTGCTGATCCCGTCCCAAATCGACCAGCCTTGGATCTTGCCCAAAGTGGGTGAATTGTCCACATAGCCACACTACTCTGTAGTAGATTTAGTGTTTACTGCTCCCTGCTGTCCTCCTTGGGAATTGTCTCTCTTTGGGCTGCCTAGTCATCCAAGTACTTAGTCAAGTATGTATTTTAAGGGTCTAAACCTCCCAGGAGGATTACCCAGAGGGATACTACCCCAGGAAGGACTTCCTAGGTCATGGTCAAAAGGGCTCTCCACATCTTCAAGTCACAAACTGGCAGACTTAGAGCCGCTGCCCTCTCTGTCCATAGTGACCCAGTGATCTGGAAAAAAGAACTCAAATCTGGGACTGGCCTTGGACCCTCTTACTGTACTTCTACTGTAGAGTAATGCCCTTCTCCCTCCAGATTTGGTGCCAGCCCTAGAGAGAGTCAGGATATCTTATTGTGACTCTTATGCTAATTTCACAGGATGCCAGCTGTGTGTGGAGAGTGTGTGTGTGTGTGTGTGTGTGTGTGTGTGTGTGTGTGTGTATTCCTTGCCCATTCTCCATTGGGTTCTACCCTTACCAACCCCTATTCCAATACTGCCTATTCTACAAGCAAAACATATTTTGAGCCTACCCTGGGGACCTTAGGGAAGCACTGGAGATGCTATGGCCTCAATGTCCTGGGTAGAAGACAGGTTTTAAGAGGACAGGAGAGTTGGGGTGGTGTTGGAGGGTTAGAGAGATTTGGCCATTTGGTTTGGAGGGTACCATCTAACTGAGGATGAGGATTCCAGTCTGAGGATCTCGGTTTGGGAAAATTTCACCGTCTGGGTTTGAAGGAGCCAGTACTGGGTTTGGGATATGGGGAGAAAGGGATGGGGTGGGGTGGGGGGTGCTGTTCAGAATAGGAGGTAGGTAGATTCAGAGTGGGGTAGGAGGGTCGGGATTGCCGAAGTCGGGTAGGGATAGGTTTGGGGGGTGCGGGCTCAGGGTTGGGGGGATCGGGAATGGGATTGGGGGGAGCGAGCGCCACGTGCCTGTGACGCGGGGGCGCCCGGGAGGCGGCGGCAGCAGCTGTGGCGGCGGCTGAGGCAGGCGTGGGGACTGGGCTGTCGGCAGCCGAGCCGGGCCGGGCCAGGCCGGAGGAAGATGCTGCCTGCCACTCTGCCCCTTCTGGGGATGCCCCTGTCAGGGGCAGGGGCGGGAGTGGCAGACGGGGCCGCGGGAGAGTCCGTCCTGCCCCCTGCGGGCTTGGCGCTGTTGCGCTGGCAGTGGCACGAGGTGGAAGCGCCCTACCTGGTGGCCGTGTGGATCCTGGTGGCCAGCTTGGCCAAGATTGGTGAGTGCGCCAGAGCTTGCCCCGTCCCAGCCCGAGGCCCCCTGTCCGCTCTCCTGTCCCCCTTCTTCCCCGCCTTGGCAAGCGGAGCGTGCAGTGTTGTCCATTCTTCTTCTCCACCGCCCCCCCCCCCATGTCCTCTCTCCCCTGCATGCGACACTTGGAGTTTTCGAATCTGCGGATTCGGGTTTCCACCCTTCCTGCTCCCCTTTACTTCCTTACCCTCTCTGCTGCCTTGGTTTCTCGAAGGGGTTTCTCCTCAGCTCTGCTTCCCCACCCCCGCCTCTGCGGAGCACCCCACTCTTCTGTCTCCAGTCTCCATTCTGCCTCACTGCCCCTTCTCGGCGCCCTGTCTTTCAGCTTCCCCCTGCTTCTGCTTCCACGGTGATGCCCACCTCTCCCCACCGCCTCCCCCGCACCCCTGCCCTTCTAGTTCTCTGCTCTCCTCCAGGGTACCTTAGCAATCAGAGACTTAGTTTCCCCTTCTGCAACAATAGGGAAAGTGAGGCACTAGTAGTGGGGTAGTGGAGTTAGCCCAGTCACACAGGGAATTCTCAGCGGAGCCGGCCACAGAATGCAGCTGTCCTGGACCTGGGATGGCATTGTGCTATCTGGACCTCAATATTCCTGCCCAGCCGGGTCCCAGGACAAGGTTTGCCAATTATATGAGCCCTCTATGTACCATCTCCCACCTAGCCTTTAGCCTTCACTACAATATAGGATTGACCACACAAAACAAATCCCCGTTGACCAAGAGGAGCAGAATTGTTTTTGTCTTAATGATATGCATGTCTATAGGAAGGACTATTTAAAAGTGGTCCTCCTCGCAACCCTTCATCATGGCGTCCTAGGTGGCTGCCTACTTTGCCCACCCCCTGCTCTCCCCCTGCTGTCCTTTATTGTCTGGGTGCTACCAAGCTGGCTGGCTGCCAGTGCTGTGCTGCTCAGTGTAACCTGTTCCTCTCCAAGGCAAGCTCCCAGATGTGGGGGTAGCCTAGACATCTGCCTTTCAGAATCCTTAATCCTTTCAGGTTCAGCTAAGATGCCATCTCCTCCACAAAACCTTCCCTCTTCTCTGTAGCTGCAAGTACTGTCTCTGATCAGCTTTTCCTGGAGCACTTTTTGTGGCCCTCTCCTTTACCCCCATCATACTTAACCTTGTATGTGAGAGGCAGTAGCATGGTGGAGAGCTGGCTTGGGAACCTAGGTTCAAGTCCTGGGTTCCAAACCTCTCTACTCTAGACAATTCTGTAATACTAAATACACGTTGCCAGGCAGGTGCTAGTATGCATTAGCACAGGGAGTTTCTTTATAAGCAGTCTCCTATACTCATGAAATCACAAACTACATACGTATGTATGTATATATATGTGTATATATATACATATGTATACATTCACACACACATATATACACACATATATGTCAAATCTCCCCCTCCCCCAGAATGTAAGCTCCTTGAGGGCAGGTGACTGTTCTGTTTGTTTTCTGCCTTTGTATCCCTTGCATCCAGAACTGTACATGCATGGAATTTACACTTAATAAATATTTATTGTTGTTGGGATTGAATCCTTGGTCCCTTCTACCCTACTGTTACTACTACTCCCTGACTGGGCTTTGATTCATCTGGATTATAGCTGCTTCCCTGAAATATCACTGTCCCATCTTCATATGCAGTAAAGCAACCAGTCTGATGCACCACCATCCCTCCCAACACACACACACACACACACACACACACACACACACACACTTGAAATAAGGAGCCCCTCCCTCAGAATCCCATTCCTTTCCCTCTGTTATTGTGATTGGGGCTCCACAAGATGGGTGCATGTGGTTGATTACAGCAGACAATTGCTGTTCTTTCCCCATGGCTGCTGACTAGCACTGCCTGTACCCTAGCCTTGCCACTGTGCAGCAGCCTTCATGGATAGATTCTGTAACCTAGAATCCAGGGGAAACCCAGGGAGACAGCTCAGGCTGATTGGAACTTTGCCAGAGGTGGAAAATGACTGTCCCCTTCTGCAGCAGGAGACTAATCACAGAAAGTGGAGTTCAGAAATGGCCTTGAGGATCAGAGGAATTGCTCCCCCATTCCTAGGACCAAGCATCTCTCTGATCTTTGGGAAGGGAAGCTCTGAGTATCCAGGGTCACTGCAGGCAGATAGGGGTGCAGGGGAAGGGGGATGCCTTGGTGCCTGGGAGGAGGTGGGAGGAGGGTAAAGAGGTAAAGGGAAGGATGATCTGTCAATCTGTAAGATCAACGTGGGAAGAGCTGCTACAGGGCCAGGAAGCAGGCAGAGAAAGGCAGCAGGAGATGCCCTTGGGATTGGATGGCCCAGAATCTGTATTGCTAATAAGTGACCAAGGGGAGTTTCTGCCTGGCATTTGGAGCATGATGAAGCTCTGAAATTACTGCAGTTTCCTCCATAAATCATGATGCTTCTTGTAGCTTGGAAGAAATGATAGGAGATGGGAGAGAAAAGCCTTCCTTCTGAGGATAGATGAAAGCAGGTCACACACACACACACAACTACTTTCTTTCAAACATGGGGTTCTTCACCCAAAAGACTACTGTTTATCACTGGGGATACGCAGGCTAAACGAGACATCCTATCTTCTCCTGTCCCTCACTTTAGAGGTGGCATTGCCAAAAAGAAAGCATGGATGGTTTGGAGTCAGAAGACCTGAATTTGAATCCTGGCACTGCCACTTACTAGCCATACTGTCTTTCAACTTAACATTTTCTAAGCCTCGGTTTCCTCATCTGTAAAACTGGGGGGAGGGAGTTGAGAAATGATCTCTGACAGTCTTCCAGGTTTAGGGCCTATGATCCATTGTATTCATCCTCCCTGGGGTTTGGGGAGGTATGAGTAGTATTCTGATAGTACCAGAAGAGCAAACAAATTGTCTTTTTAGTGTGGGGAGTGGTAGTAGAAACTAATTCTAACCTCCCTCCTCCCGAAGAAGGGGAATTTTTTCATTAACATTACTGATGATCTACTACAATAGAGCATTGTAGAGAAGACTGTACTTGGAGTGGGGATTACCAAGAAGCATGAGCTATAGTACCTGTCCTAGAGGATTCTCAGTCTCATTGGAGACATAGAATGTGGGCAGAAAAAAAGTTGAGTACCAGGCTAGTTGCAGATGCAAACTGGGAGACTGGAAGCGCACTGGCTGATGTCAGTACACTTGAGTTCAAATCTTGTTTCTGAAGTCACCTGTCTACCTGTGTCACCTTGGGAAAGTCTTCTAATTCCTTCAATTTTCTCCTCTTTAAAATAAAAGGGTTGGAATGAATGATCTTTAAGGTCCTTTCCAGTTCTAATATTTGTGGTTTAGTATCTGTGTTTATCTCTGTTTAGATGTTCAGGGTGTATGCCTTTGTCTGTCTGTTTCATGGTGGCCTGGATTCCTGGATTCCTCAGCCCTGCTTCATGATGTTGGGGCCAAAAATCAGAGAGGGTCAGGAGTGGTAGCCCCTGGCCTGAGAGTGAGATGCTGCCTGCCTGGCCAGTTTTCTTAAAGCACTCATTCCTGTTCTTCCCCACCCCCTTCTCTTTTTTTCCATGACTTCTTTCACAGCAGGGCCAAGGTCTTTAGCCCACGCAGGAATTGTGAGGGATACAAAAACACAGTTTGTAATCTGTCTGGGAAGACAGGACATACACACATACAAACTAACAATATAAGGCTTAACAACTGGGGCACAAGGAAGTAAGTTCTGCAGGGCATGAGAAGAGGGAGAGATCATTGCAGTAAACAGAAGATGGAGATGGTGAGGTTTTACCTTGACCTTGATAAAGGCACTTCAGAAAGTGGAGCAGGTCAGGGAGGAGAAAGCAAAACTAGCCAGGCAGTTGCAAGAGGAATGAGCACTGATTAGAGGACCTGAGTTCAAATGCCAATTCTGCTCAATTATACTTTCCCTCTCTGAGATTTAGTTTTCTCATCTATAGAATGAGGGATAATCTCTAAAGTCATTAAGGGATCTAGCTGGTCTTTCAAGATCCCTTTTGATAATAAAATAACCATGATCCTGTAACTAGTTTGCCCATACTAAAGCGGTTATTTAGAGGAGTAGTGGGAGCTATGGATGCAATTCCAGATGTTCACACTGGATACCATCTTCCCAACTCCAGAGCCTTCAGAATTACCTATAGTTCTGGACCCTGACTTGGGTGCCCTCTTGAGCTGGGCTCTGGGTTAGTAGACATGCAAGAGAAGTTCCAGGTGGTTCCTCTCCTAGACCCTTTTCCTTAATACTATCCAAATCCTATCTGTCCTTCTATGCCTGGTTCAATTGTCTACCACCCCACCCCACCCCCCAAAAAAACCCTTCCTGGATCACCTGTAGTCTGAATGAACGAATAAATGAAACGGTGCATGTTAATGGCTACTCTCCCCCAAGCACTGGGCTGGGCACGGGACATACAAAACCAAAACAACTCTTGTCCTGAGGGAGCTTACATTCAAAGGGGGTGAGACAACACGTATAGGGAAGGGTGTTTGGCTTGGGAAGTCAGAGGGATGGTGAGTAGGACCATAAGGGAAGCTTATTAAAACACTCTTTCTAGTAGCAAAGGCAGTTTTGGGACTTGATTATGGTTCCTAAAGGAAGAGGTTGGAGGTTGGAGGTGGCATGGGGCATGGGATGTATATAGTAGAGGAACAGATGGTAAGAATGAATGAAAAAGTATTTATTAAGCCCTTACTATGCGCAAAGCACTGCGCTAGGGACACAAATAGAAAAACAGAGGCAGTCCCTCCTTCCGAGGAGGTCACCTTCTAATGGAGGAGATAACAACTGTGGGAGATTTCATCTACAAGTCAGATGGAAAGTTCCATGGTCCTTAAGGTATAGTAATAGACTCTCCACTGATCCCCTACTCCTTATGATCCTGAGTTCTTTGAGGTGATGAGAGCATAAAGGTAGGCATATCCCACCAAGGCAGAAGCGCATCAAGTATGGGTCTGGTGTTTACTGAACAGGTGCCTGTCTTCTAAGGATCAGATTAGCTAAGAACAGAAATGCTCATCACTAGAGCCATGAGCACCATGAAACCATCCACCAAGTCGCAGGCTGTTGGTGTTGCTTGCCCCTTGTTTCCAAGAGGACTAATGACATCATGGGGTGATGTCTTGACTTGTGCATAACTTGAGAGTTGGTTGACAGGCTCTTTGGAAGCACTGAGGAACAATCCAATACAACAAACATTTAAACAAAGGCCTTCTGCATACAGAGCATTGTGCCAAGTGTTAGGCTAGATACACAGCCTAGATAAGATAAATTTCTTGCTCTCCTGGAACTTACAGTCTAAAGACTAAAATACCTAAGCAGCCTTTTTTTTGTTGTTTTTGGTAAGGCAATTTGGGTTAAGTGACTTGCCCAGGGTCACACAGCTAGTAAGAATCAAGTGTCTGGTATGAGGCCAGATTCGAATTCAGGTCCTCCTAACTCTAGGGCCGGGGCTGTATCCACTGCACCACCTAGCTGCCCTGGCTTTTGGAGGGTCCAGACCTATTATTTTCCCCAGGTTGGGGACTCCCTTTCCCAACACGATTATTGACAACATAAGAGTTAGAGAGTTACCTGGGTCCCTGAGCAGTTGAATGTGTGCCTGTGGTTACACAACTAGTATATGTCAGAGGTAAAATTTGAACTCAGGTCTTACTGTCTCCAAGGCTACCTTCTATCCATTATTATGCTTCTCACTAACACCAACCATTATAATATATTACATATTATAGTTACATAATTGGTTCATTACAGAGGAGTAGAACAAAGTGCTATGTGAGGTCAGAGAGGTCATTCATTGCCCAGCAGGGATTCAAAGAAGGCTGGTGGCATTGTTACACATCACATTTAGATGCCATGTCATCCTCGAGCATTAGATTGGAATCCCCTAGGGGGTAGATATATGTCTTCCACCTCTATGTTTCTCTCCACTGTGCCTAACTCTGGACCTTGCCCAACAAATGTTTGACTTGCTTTTCCCTGTAGTCTTCCACCTGTCCCGGAAGGTGACTTCTGTCGTCCCCGAGAGCTGCCTGCTCATCTTGCTGGGTCTGGTGCTGGGAGGCATTGTCCTGGCTGTGGCCAAGAAAGCAGAGTACCAGCTGGAGCCGGGCACCTTCTTCCTCTTCCTCCTACCCCCTATTGTGCTTGACTCGGGCTACTTTATGCCCAGTCGGCTTTTCTTTGACAACCTGGGAGCCATTCTGACCTATGCTGTGGTGGGCACGCTGTGGAACTCCTTCACTACAGGGGCTGCCCTTTGGGGCATCCAGCAGGCTGGGCTTATGGGTGAGTCTCATTTCATTCCCTGGGAATCTCCAGGACCTGGGTTGGAGGAGGGGAAGCGTGGCTGCATGATCTCAGTTGCTTCACTCTCATAGGCCTGGGAAGAACAAGATGCTCATCCTTGCTGTTTGAGAGAGGCTCTTAGCTTATAGAGTAATGGAAACAGCATCATAATGCGGAGCTGTAGTCAGAGAACATAGGTCAGAATTCCAGCTCTGCCTCTTTCTACCTGTGTGACCTTATCAAATAATTAAATTTATCTGAGCCTCAGTTTCCTTATATGTAAAATGAGGATAATGCTAATAATGGTCCTCATTCATACAGGTCTGCCTGTAAGGTAGGGCTTGTATTAGTATCTCCATTTTACAGATAAGGAAAATGAGAGGAATTGAGTGATTTGGTCAAGGTCAAACAACTAATAAGTCTCAGAGCTGAGATTGGAACCCAGGTCTATCCTGTATACAAGACCAGTGCTCATGAAAACATTCTACCCTCATTTCAGATGGAATTGAGGAACAGGGCTGTTGTGTTGGAAGCTCTATAGAAAGCTGGGTTATTATTTTTAGAAGGGACTTTCCAGATCTTCTAGTCTGTGATGAAACACTTTCATTTTATAGTTAAGGAAATGAAACCTCAGGGAGGTCATATATTTCACCCAAGGTCACCTAGCAAATTAGCATCCTCCTAGGTCTGAGATCTCCAAGGCCCAGTGAGAGAGTTCAGTGCCTGGAGACTACTCTTCACCAGCTGAGTCTGTCTGTGCCCGCCTTCCAGAGTGGCAGCTCAGCTGGTCTCCTAGAACTGAACAAGTTCTGGGCTCCAGCTGTGTGTGGGTTGTGAGGATGGGGAACCCGTCATGCCATGTGCCTTGCTTGTTTTCCCCTTTCAGCATCCATTCAGCCACTTAGCAGCCCTGCCAGAGAGAGCTCTGCTCCCCCATCAGCAGGCCTGAGCCGCTTCTGTCTGGGCTTCCCTTCCCTGGAAGCTGAACGGGCTAGGGCCGGTATGGAGAGAGCTGGGGCCAGGGGAAATAACAGAGCACTTTACATCTGTCAACTCATCTGACCCTCACAACAACCACATAAAGGAGGTTATTGTAGAGGAGGAAACCACGGCAGACAGAACTTAAGTGATGTACTCAGGGTCACACAGTCAGTAAATGTCTGAGGCAAGATTTGAATTCACATCTTCCCATCTCCAAGTCCTGTGGTACAGTGGATAGAATAGTAGAGCTGGAATCAGGAAGACTTGAGCTCAGATTTGGTCTGAGATGCATAAACTGTGTGACCCTAGACAAGTCTCTAAACCTCTGTTTGCCTCAGTTTCTTCATCTGTAAAATGGGGATAGTGATAAGAGCACCTACTTCTCTGGGTTGCCAGGATCAAATGAGATAATATTTGTAGAGTGCTTGGCATAGTGCCTGGCACATAGTAGGCACTTAATGGATGTTTATTCCCTTTCCTCTTCCTTCCCCTTTGTATCTGTGATCCTATAAACCCCACAAGACAGTTCATATGAACAATATTATCCCCTTCTTAGAAATGAAGAATCAAGTTCAGAAGGGAAAGTGAGTTAGCTTGTTACTGGCCAGAAGATTAAACCTGGGTGTCCAGACTTCAGAGCCTGAAGAGACCCCTGAGGTCACCCAGTCAATACTGCTAACTTTATATGTGAGAAAAGAGACCCCCAAGAAGCTAAAGGCTTTTCTAAGGCCACATAGCTAATAAGTCCAAAGCCTTTTCTACGTTGTGCATCAGGGGCATCAAACATGGCGCCTGCCTAAATCAGATATGAAAATGTAATTGAGAAATATTTAATTGACTAAATGAAAATACAATAAAACATAGATGATGTTCACATGTGGTTTTCTAAGCAGCCATCATCTTGTATTAAAGATTTAGTGGCCCCATTGACACCATTGCTGAATATTGGGGGGGATGGGACTCAGGCTGGGCCCCCACTAGCTGGTTTTCCTTAGACCATGGTGTTTGTGGGCACCTTCTGCTTTTGCCTCAGGAGTGGAGTGGAGTGGAGAGGTGAGGAGTCCTCTGGTGGGGGGTGGGGGGACATCTCTCTCCCTCTCTCTGTCTCCCCATAGCTCCCACTGTCCGAGCTGGTTTGCTTGACTTCCTGCTCTTTGGAAGCCTGATCTCTGCTGTGGACCCCGTGGCTGTCTTGGCTGTCTTTGAGGAGGTGCATGTCAACGAAACCCTCTTCATCATAGTATTCGGCGAGTCCTTACTCAACGATGCAGTCACAGTGGTGAGGGCACCATGGAGGATTGACTGGGTGACGTAGGGCTATTGGCCCTGGGTTCCTCACTCTCCTAGCAGACCCAGGGCTTACAGCTGACCAGTCTGATGGGCTAAATTTGGGGGGACAGGAGGGGGACCCTCCACAGTGCCAAACTTGGGGTCATAAGACCCTGGTATAAATCCTGACTCTGCCCTTTATTTGTTATGTAAATGATAATAATAATAGCTAATATTTATATAGCTCTATAAAATGCTTTATATACATTATCTCATTTGATCTGCATGATAACCATGTGAGGTAGGTGCTATTATTATCCCCATTTTACAGCTGAGGAAACTGAGGTAGACAGAGGCTAAGTGATTTGCCCAGAATCACACACCTGGCAGGATTTGAAGTCACCTGACTCCAAGCCCAGGGCTCTACTTACCATCCACTGCACAACATGCTGCCTACCTGCTTGTTTTTGGTTGGATCTCTTTCTGCCTTGCTTTCCTCATTTGTAAAATAAGTATATTAAGACTTGTACTACCTACCTCACGGGACTATTGTAAGAAAATAATTTTGTAAACCTGAAAATGTTATAGAAACAGAGAGGCAGCTAGGTGGTGCATATGGATGGAATGCTGGACTTAAAGTTCAAAAGATCTGGGTTCAAATCCTGCCTCCTACTAGTTGTGTGTGACCTTGGACAAGTCACTTAGCTTCTACTAGTCTCAGTTTCCTCATCTGTAAAATGAGGCTAACTGTAGCATCTCACTGTCACGAGGATCAAATGAAATAATGTATGTAAAGTGCTTTGCAAAACTTAAAGAGCTATATAAATGTTAGCTATTATTATCTCTCTGAACCTCTATTTCTTCATCTATAAAATGAGATTCATAAGCCCAGTATTACTAGTTATATGGTCATAGGTGTCATTTACCTCTCAGTGTTCCTAAGCAACTCTAAGAGCATAAGCTACAAATGAGCTGCCAATCTGCAGTAGTGGAGAGTGTTTCCATTCTGAGAGTTCCCCACACTGCCTTTTTTGGAGGGTGTGGGGGTCAGCAGGATGGAATCCTTTTATTGCCTGCCTCTCAAGTAGGTAATGTTTGTTGTGAAGAAAGTGTTTTGTAAACCTTGAAGCTCTATGGAAATGTGACATCTTATTTATTACTGCTCTAACTTAGGTGCTGTATAAGGTGTATAACTCTTTTGTGGAGATGGGCTCAGTCAATGTTCAGGCTATTGACTATGTGAAAGGAGTCGGTCAGTATCTCCCTGCCCTTTACTGGCCTATTGGGTCCTCTTCCCAATTTTCCCCTGGGGTGCTAAGTCCTTTCTCAGAGCCAGGAAGGAGAGACAAAGCCTCTGCTTGCATCTCTCCCCCTTTCCCAGTGAGAGCTGATCTCTGGGGTAACAGAAGCCTCAGTATCCAGTTCCTGGCCTGCCTAAGAGTCCAGCTCCTGAGACCCCGATGCCCCTGGTGGAGTGAAGCAGGCATCACCCTTCTCCTCTTTGCCACTGGTTTGGGGTGGGGGGAGGGAAGAGGGAGGCCATGCTGACAGCCCGGCCTCCTTCCCAGCCTCTCTCTTTGTGGTCAGTCTGGGCGGGGCAGCCGTGGGCTTAGTTTTTGCCTTCCTCCTGGCCCTGACCACACGTTTCACCAAGCGGGTCCGTATCATCGAGCCTCTGCTGGTCTTCCTCTTGGCCTATGCTGCTTACCTCACAGCGGAGATGGCCTCGCTCTCAGCCATCCTTGCGTGAGTTCCTGGGACCCGAGGCAGAAGCCGGGGTGGGGAGGGAGGGATGTAGGGGGGAAGATGAAGGGAGGACAGTGGGCATCCCTGTTCTACTGCCTACTACCTGTAGGATTGTGGACAACCTTCTTCACCTGTGTGAGTGGCAATTTCTTGTAAAATGACAGAATTGGAAGAGATGATTGCCACCCTTTAGGAATGGGATTGACAAGATGGAAGACAGCCAGAGCAGGGTGAACTGGATGGATGATGGCCCTGGAGATCATGCTGTATGGGGATAAGTTGAAAGATCTGGAGATGTTGATTCTAGAGGGGAAAAAACAGTGGGAATAGGATAGATGCCTCCCAGTATGTAGAAGAAGCATTAGCTTGGGTCTGCTTGGCCCCTAGCTGAAATGGGCAGAAGTTGTCAAAGAGAGGTCGCTTTAGGCACTACTTGAGAAAAATTGCTTCCTAACAATTGAAGCCTCCCCAAGGAGAAATGGGCTTGCTTCAGAAAGGAACGAGTTCCCCATCACAAGAGACCTTCACATGAAGGTTGGGTGAGCACTTGATAGAGATGTATAAGGAATTCCTGCTCAGATATAGCCTGGACTAGATGGACTTTGAGATCCTAACCGACTCTCACATCTCTGAATCCCATTATTCTATAAATAACTTGATATAAGTCTGTTAAATGTCTACACTCTCTGCTGTGAGCCAACACAATGCAGAGGTATCAGAAGATGGTGGACCTCAGGTTAGAAGAGATGGGTCCAAGAAACAGCTCTCACACTTACTAGCCCTGGGACCATAGGCAAATTACCTTCTATCTTTGAACCTCAATTTTCTTATTTGTAAATTAGGGATGATGGAGTTTTTACTACCTCAAAGGGTTACTTGGAAAGAGAGAACATAATAATAGTGATTTCAGCTAGCATTTATATAATGCTTTAAGATTAACTTTACAATTAATATCTCTTTTAATCCTTACAACAAATTTGCAAGGTAAGTGCTATTATTATCCCCATTTTACAGATGAGGAAACTGAGGCTAAGTGACTTGTCCAGGGTGATACAACTCATAAATGTCTGTGGATAGATATGAACTCAGGTCTATCCTGACTCCAGGTCCAACATTCCATCCACTGAGCCACCTAGCTGCCTCTAGCTGCCTTGATAAATCGTGGGGGTACTCTAGAGATAGCCATTATTGTTGCAATCATTATTATTCCTGTGGGGATAATAATAATATTATTAGGAATAGTAACTGAGGCCTAGTTGGTACAGGAAGGTAATGCTTCCCTGTTCACCTGTCCAGGTCCAAAACAAACATTCTGGAAGGCCCAGAGGAAAATTTGGTATCCCTTTACCATTCTTCTGGACAGGACCGAGCCTGGTGGTTCTCTTTGTGCTTTGTGCTGGTCCAGAGGATGAGGAGCAGGGGATTCTGAGGCCTAAGCATTCTCAGCAAACTTAAATTGTTGTCTGGGGATGACTTCTAGTGAGACCCCATGGAATTCCTTTGGTCTGACTGCTGTCTCCTCCCACGCAGGAGGCGATGGTATAAGGGAAAGAGCTCTGGCTTGGGAGTCAGGACCCTGAGTTCTGGTCTGGCCTCTGCTGTCCCCCACTGTAGGACTTGGAGGGAAATCCCTTCCCTTCTATGGGCCTTACTTTCTACATCTATAAAGTGTTGGTCTAGGTTGGCAGTTCTTAACCTTTCTGTGTCTTCATCAGCCTGGTGAAGCCTATGGACCCCTTCTCAGGAGAATGTTTTAAGTGCATAAAATAAAGCACGTGGGATTACAAAGGCAACCAATTATACTGAAATGCAATTATCAAAATATTTAAAAACAAAACGAAACCAAGTTCACTGACCTCAGGCTGAGAACCAGGACTAGAGGATCTATGAGGTTCCTTCCAGCCTTGATGTTGTGATTGTAGGATTTTCTTCTGTCCAGCACCTTCCCCTCGAGGCCTAATTTCCTTCCTGCCTGCTCAAACCCCAGAGACTGGTCAGGAGAGGCATGGCTTATCATTGTTCTGTTTGGTCCCTGGGGACAGATATAGGACACATATGAGGAAGCCGCAGATTTAGGCTTCAAGGAAGGGAAAGCCTTCCCCCTAGGCAGAGCCATTGCAAAGTGGGAAAGTTGTCATTGGAGATGGTAGGTAGGCTTCTTGGAGGTTGGCAGCAGGCATAGCCCTACCCAGGTGGGATTTGGTTCTGACCCTGTGTTTGTGTGATTAGTTTGGTGCGGGAGCCCTAGATCCTTGATGCCCTTTCTAACATCCCTTTCCTCTGTCTTCCTGTTCTTCTGTCAGAGTAACAATGTGTGGTGTGGGCTGTAAGAAGTATGTGGAGGCTAACATCTCACACAAGTCCCGTACGGCTGTGAAGTATACCATGAAGACACTGGCCAGCTGCGCTGAGACAGTCATCTTCATGCTGCTTGGCATCTCTGCTGTTGACTCCTCTAAGTGGGCCTGGGACACCGGGCTGGTGCTTGGTACCCTCTTCTTCATCCTGCTCTTCCGTGCCCTCGGTACTGCCCTGTGCCTGGCTGCCTTCCCGTTTCCTTCTTATCCTCTCTATCCCCCAACCCTAACTCCTGCTATCTCTTTCCCTTGGTGAAAGCCCCTCTCTCTACCTTGACTGAAATCCTATGCTTGCTCCTCACCCTTCTAGCCCTTGTCCGACCTTAACCTGGACCCTTCCTTCCCCTGCCCTGCCCCCTAACTCCACCTGGCTTCCTCACCCTTGCCCCTGCCCCTACTCCCACCCGGCCTCCCTCCCCTGCAGGCGTAGTCCTGCAGACATGGGTGCTGAACCAGTTCCGGCTGGTCCCTTTGGACAAGATTGACCAGGTGGTGATGTCCTATGGGGGCCTGCGAGGGGCTGTGGCCTTTGCTCTCGTCATCCTTCTGGATAAGACCAAGGTCCCTGCCAAGGACTACTTTGTGGCAACCACCATCGTGGTGGTCTTCTTCACAGTCATCGTGCAGGTGGGAGGGCCGAAAGGGAGGCAGAGGAGGGGGCAAAGTAGGAATCACCATAGTGTCTGTCCCAGAATCCCAGATAGAGACCTCAGAGGGATCTAAAGGTCAAGACAAACAGGACCCTTCTCTATAAAACCCTCCCCCAAAACCCATGATGGGTGGTCATCCAGACTCCCTTGGGAGACTTTCAGAGAGGGGAACCCACCATTTCCTCAATCAACTATTCCATTTTTGGACAATTCTAATGGTTAGGAAGGTTTCCTGCCTGCCAGCCTAAATCTGCTCCCTGCTCCCTGCTCCCTGCTTCCTCTCTGCTCCATTGCTGCCAGTTCCATTCTTCAGGGTTCAGAAACCATCTAATCCCCTTCCCATGTGAGAGCTGTCCAGTGAGCTCGTGGTGCAGAACTGGAAGTCAAGCTATCTGGATTCCAGGCCTGACCCAGGGTCCAACTTGCTGTGGAATCTTGGGGATATATCTTCCCCTTTCAGAAAAACAGAAACCAGACCTAATGATCCATTTCCAGAAGCCTTCAAGACCTGACATTTTGACTCATTGTCTCTCTATCCAGCTCTTTCCATGGCTGTGAAAGGGGATTCTAGGGGGAAGCCGAGGCACTGTGGGTCACTGTGCGGTGTCAGAGAAAGGCTTAGTGTCATCCCATGGGAATGGCAATGGAGAAAATTAGGGGCATAGCAAGGATAGTGGGCAGCTTATATTTCTAATCTCCATGTTTTATATTTCTATCTCCATGTTCACCTCCTTCCTGTCTCCCTTCTTGTTCCCCAGGGTCTAACCATAAAGCCTCTCGTCAAGTGGCTAAAAGTGAAACGAAGTGACCACCACAAGCCCACCTTGAACCAGGAACTACATGAACATGTGGGTATCAGTTACATGGCCCCAAAGGATTGTCCCTTTTCCTTCTTACCTCCTCCCATTCTTTTCTGGCTTTCTGGAGGGTTCTTGGGCTGGAAGGGACTATGTCTAGGCTCTTCCAGATATGAAATTTTAATTTGGTGCCCAAGCTCTGGGCCTTCTTCGGGAGTAGGGCCAGCGCCGTGACTGGGCTTTCCTGTCCCTTCTATAGACCTTTGACCATATTTTGGCAGCTGTGGAAGATGTAGTTGGTCACCATGGCTACCACTACTGGAGGGATAGGTGAGCACGTCCCCCTTCCCTCCCCTCCTGAAAAGGCTGCCTCAACAGCTCCCTCTTTGCTTCCCGGGGGGCAGAGATGGGCCAAATGCTATTATTCAGGCCTAGCAACCTGGGAAGGTCTTGGAAGAGAGCCCCCAGAGAAGGATAACAGCTTACACTTTGAGGTTTACAAAGATTTCTTACTCTCCCATGATGAGGCAGATAGCACAAGCAGCATTGTTACCACTTTACAGATGAGGAGAATGAAGCTTGTCTGGTGACTCGTCTAGGTCACACAGTTAGTAAGTGTGGGAGCCTGGACTAGAACTCAGAATCTTCTGACTAAGATCAATGCCTTTTCTACTAACCCCTATGGTCCAGAGACAGTTCTTGGAAGGTCTTTCCAGAGTACTTAGGGAATTCAGGGAAGGGAGTATTCAGGCACCCAGATCTATCCCCCCCTGTAGGTGGGAACAATTTGACAAGAAATACCTGAGTCAGCTACTGATGCGCCGGTCTGCCTATCGTATCCGGGACCAGATCTGGGACGTGTACTATAAACTCAACATTCGAGACGCCATCAGTTTTGTGGACCAGGTAGGTCTTAATTCTGCCAGGTGGGTGGGGCAAAGTTGGGTTTGTGGGGCTTCTTAACCTGGGGTCTGTGAACTGGTTTTTTAAATGTATTTTTGATAACTGTATTTCATTATATTCAACCAATCAGTAAGCATTTATTAAGTACTTATATGTGCTAGGCTCTGTGCTAAGTACTGGGAATACAAAGAAAAGCAAAAGACAATCCCTGTCCTCAAGGAGTTTACAATCTAATGGATTATAATTGGTTTTCTTGGTAACCTGTGTGTTTTATTTTGTATTTTTATTTTTTGTGCTTTTAAAAATGTGATTCTAAGAAAGGGTCCATAGGTTTTACCAGACTGCCAAACAGAGCCTACAACACAAAGAAGATTAAGAACCCCTGATCTGGTGCAATGGCTAGGACTAGAGTGAGTGGTAAATAGCTTGGGGCCCTGGATGAATAATTCATGGTCTCTGGAAACTGGTGATTTAAAAAAATAGTATTTTATTTTTTCCAATTATACGTAAAGACAATTTTTAACATTCATTTTTTACGAAGTTTTGAGTTCCAAATTTTTCTTCCTCCCCTCCCCTCTTTCTAAAAGAGTAAGCATTTTGATATAGGTTATATATGTTCAATCATGTAAAATATATTTCCATATTAGTCATGTTGTGACGAAGAAACAGAACAAAAGGAAAAAACTAAAAAAAAACAGTAAAGTTAAGGTAGTATGCTTTGATCTGCATTCAGAGTCTATCAGTTCTTTCTCTGGAAGTGGATAGCATTTTCCATCCTGAGCCCTTTGGAATTTTCTTGGATCCTTGTACTGCTGAGAGGAGCTAAGTCATTCATAGTTGATCATCACACAATGTTGTTTAAACTAGTGATGATGATGGAGTGTTGGGGAAAGGGTGTCAGACAACCTGGTCCTAGAGTTGAGAGTGAAGTACCGACTCTAGGCCATAAACATCCATCTGAGATCCATTTTCATATCTTTAGGGAGGCCATGTCTTATCCTCATCAGGGCTCACACTACCCTCCATGCCTAGCCGTAACTCTGCAGCAGAGACCTCTGTCACCAACCTGCTGTAAGTACCACTGTGCCTACCTCCCCACGGTAGGCTCCCCTTTATCAGTGTCAGCCTCTTCTCTCCCTCAAGCTTTCTCCACCTCTGTGCCAGGCTCCTCTTTATCCCACCCCAGGTTCCCTCCTCTTCATTGCCCCCAGAGAGTTGCATATTTAGCCTAAGGCTCTTGCAGACCCCTCTGCAATTTGCCCCCTTGGCTTACTTCCAATAGGCGGGAGAGTGGCAGTGGTGCCTGCCTGGATCTACAGGTGATCGACACAGTTCGAAGTGGCAAGGACCGGGAGGATGCCATCATGCACCATCTGCTCAGTGGAGGCCTCTACAAACCCCGTCGGAGGGTGAGATACACATAGGTGGGGAGAGAATCCTTCCTCAATGGCCTTTGGCCTGGAGGAAATCAAGATTCAGGGCTGGGGGGCAAATAACAAAAACCAAAAGCAAAACCACTTGCCCAGAACCTGCTATATGGGAGGCTATGTAGAGTAATGGAAAGAGCATTGGATTTGGAATTTGAAGACCTGGGTCTAAATCCTAGCTCTGACACTGGCTTATGTAATAGCATGTGGCACTTTTCTTCCCTTAATCTGTAAAGTGCATAGAAAGGCCTTGTACTAATTACCTAGGATCTAGAACTGAAAGGGATCCTCAAGATCACCTCCTACCAGGGATTCTTAGGCTGGGGTCAAGGAACTATTTTTTTGTGGGGGGAGGCTAGGCAATGAGGTTAAGTGACTTGCCCAGGGTCACACAGCGTGTTATGTGTCTGAGGTCAGATTTGAACTCAGGTCCTCCTGACTCCAGGGCTGGTGGTCTATCCATTGCACCACCCCTTCAGGAACTATTCAAAAACATATTTTGGTAAGTGGGTTTCAATATAATTGGCTTCCTTTGTAAACCTAGGCATTTTATCTTATACACTTAAAAACATTCTTCTGAGAAAATCGGAGAGGTATGTGATACAGAAAAGGTTAAGAACCTACGATCAAAGCCAACCTCTTTATATTAAAGATAGAGAGTAACGTTCAGAGAGGAGAGACTCACCCAAGGCCACACAGGGAGCAAGTAGTAAAACTGGGATTTGAACTCAGGTCTTTTGACTATTCTTTCCACTACAGCATCAGCATCATCATCTATGACATTTATTTAGCACTTTAAGGTTTGAAAAACATTTTACAAATATTATCTCACTTGATCCTTACAACAATCCTGGGAAGTAGGTGCTATTATTATCTCCATTATACAGATGAGGAAACTGAGGGCAGAGGGGAAGTGACTGGCCTGGGGTCACATAGCTGGTATCTGTGGTCAGATTTGAACCCAGGCCTTCCTGACTTCAGCTCTAGTGCTCTATCCACTGTGCCATCTGACCTGCCTCTCACCTTACAGGATTGCCACCAAGAAAACAATTTGCAAACCTGTAAGTGCTATAGCCATGGTGAATTATTATTGATTGTGAATATGTCCATAGAGTTCAGAATTTGGATGAGGAGATGCCATACATGGGTGGAAAATGAAGTAAGTAAATTGGGCAATATGTGAGAAAAGCCAGTTGGGTTGATAATCAGCTAGTCCCTGCAGGTTGGAGTACAAAAGGAAGGCTTTGGAGTAGAGGTGAGAAAAGAGTGTTAGACGGGGGGACTGACATTTGTGACTTGGGGCATTGTCAGTCAGTAGCGAGAGGAAAAGAAATGCCAAGTTTCATACGAGGACCAAGGAAATAGACATCAGTTTCAGCTTCGGAAATCACAGAATCCTTCCCGGAGGAGATGGCATTTGAGAGCGGGGTATTGAAGAATGGTCAGGATTTTACCTGGGGAGAGGACTCTCTGTGTGTGTGTGTGTGTGTGTGTGTGTGTGTGGTGTATGCATAAGGGAGGGAGGGAAAATAAAGATAGAGAAATTTTTCGAAATATGAGAGAGCACAAGATATGTTTAATGCACATAGTAAAGCATTATATAAATGTTAGCTATTTTTCTTGTTATTTTGATGGATGGCAATTAGTCCTATTTTTTGGAATAAAGAGGACAGCAGAAAATGGGGCAGCTAGGTGGTGCCATAGTAGATAGAGTACTGGGCCAAGTTCCAGGGAGATGATCTTCCTGAGTTCAAATCTGGCTGGCCTCAGATACTTACTACCTGTGTGACCATGGGCAAGTCACTTCACTCTGTTTGCCTCAGTTTCTTCTTCTGTAAAATGAACTGGAGAAGGAAATGGCAAACCACTGTAGTATCTTTGCCAAGAAAACCCCAAATAGGTTCACAAAGAGTTGGACATGACTGAAACAACTGAACAACAAAGCAGAAAATGAGGTGAGCTGAGGCTGAAAAGGTAAGGTAGCCAGAGATTGTAAATGACCTCGAATTCCTGAATCAGGCATTTGGGCTTCCTCTTGTAGGCAATAGAAGAACCGAGGGATTTTGAATGAGAAATGATAGTACTACAGATCTAGAACTGGAAGGGAATCCAGAGACCTTCTAGTCCAACCCAAGCATCTTATAGATAAGGAGACTGATGGAAAGGGAAGTTAAGTGACTTGCCCAAGGTCATGTATCTGGTATCATGGGTAGGGCTTGGACCAGCTCTTCTGACTCCAGAGAACTTGTTCATTCCATTGTGCCCACCTGTTTCCTGATGGTGAGAGGAAGGAGAGGGCGTGATCAAACACAACCATGATCATGTTTTAAATAGTGGGAAGTGGAAGAACCTGGATTCAAACCCAGATCTTCCACTGAGTCCAGAGCTCTTTCTCTTACTTCACTCATCCATCTGGCCCAGGTGACCAAGTTAACTTTTATATTGCGCAGCTCTGATCACGTCCCACCAGGAAACAGCCTTGCACAGTGGAAAGAGACTCTGGAGTCAGAAGACCTGAGTTCAAGTTCTACCCTTGATAATTATCATCATAATAGCTCATAATTTGTATGGCACTTTAAAGTTTGCTAAGCTCTTTGCAAATATTATCTCATATTATCCTCACAACAATCCTGGGAGCTAGTTATTATTACTATCCCCATCTTACAGATGAAGAAACTGGATTACACAGGTTAAGCGACTTGCCCAGGGTCACACAGCTGATATATGTGTGAGGTGGGATTTGAACTCAGGTCTTCCTGACTCCATATATAGCATCCTATGCACTGCATCACTAAGCTGCCTGTATGATCTCAGGCAAATTATTTAGACCCTCTGGGCCTCAGTTTTCCTCTCTGTAAAATGGAGCTCATAGTACTTTCACCATTCCACTGAAATCCAACTCCTATGCCTCATTATATTGTGCAGGTGACCCTGGATTCTCAAAGGCTGATGCCAACAGAATGTAAGCCCTGGCAGCCCTTACTGAGCTGGAAAGGCTTCAAGGACAGTCTCAATGACAAGACTGTATATCTGTTGTCCAGTAGCTAGCCTAGCTATGTTTGGAGTGGCTGCTCACCAGACAATTAGCCACAGAGTGATGAATGTTTTGGCCATGGCGCTTTGTGGAGATTACCCTCTATGGCATGGAGAAACTGTAATTTTCACTGGTGGAAGAAGTACCTACTAAAGGAAATCATAGATTCTTTTTTTTTTTGGGGGGTGAGGCAATCGGGGCTAAGTGACTTGCCCAGGGTCACACAGCTAAGAAGTGTCAAGTGTCTGATTTGAACTCAGGTCCTCCTGACTCCAGGACCAGTGCTCTATCCACTGTGCCATCTAGTTGCCCCAAAATCATAGATTCTTAAAGTACTAGATGAAAGGCATAGATTTAGAGCTTGCTGAGACTTCAGAGGTCATCTCATCCAGCCTTCTCATAGACAAGGAAACTGAGGCCTAGTGATATGTAGCACCTTCCCATATATAGGCTCCCAGACATGTACCCCAGATTCAAGGCATTTTGGTGGTCAGCAAATCCATAGTTCATGAGCCCCCATTAATGTGTTTACTTTTACTTGTCCAACTAGAGGCATATTAGTTCAGAGCAAAAGATATTTGATCATACAAAATACAACATACAAAGTCACAGAATCACAGAATTTGAAAATTGCAAGGGACCTCACAGGCTGTATATTCCAACCAATGCACAAAAGGAATCCCTAATATACTATACTTGGCCAAGGGGAAGGGCCTATGAACTCTTTAGTTTAGAGCTACAGAGCTAACCTCAGTGCCTCTGTGTTGTCAGCCGCATCCAGCCAGTTAGCTAGAGAGGCCCTTTGGCATTTTAAAGTTCACCATTTATTTGAATTATTTTTCCTTTTGCTGGACTCAGGTTCCTTGATCCTAGTCTCCCATTTGACTTGGGGTCAGGAAATTACTTTCAATTTCTGTCATCTAGTTTGTGTTCTTTCAAAACATCCCAGGGACTCCACTTAGTAATAGTGCAGAAGGAACCACCAAAACTGGTTCTTTTCGATCCCCATCATGCCCTTGCTTGCCATGCAGATCAACTTGGGGCAAGACTGAAAGGACCAGGTGAAACCAGGGCTGTTGGTGATCTCTACCCCAGTTTCTAAATACTGCATTCAGCCAGCAATGGAATCCCTGGGATGTTTTGGAACCTGGGTCCACAGACTCCAGATCCAGTTATTTGTATTGCACCCTACTCCCTACTTGGAAGACTTATGGTTAGTCAAGTGCAGGAGAAATGCGAGTTATTATCAATGAGAAAAATGCAGGAGATTAAAGGACTAGTGATGAGCTTACTGTAGTAGCAGGTGATGCTGTAGACCTATACTTACATGGTCAGGCATTGAAAGAGAGAGCTGGGGACAGATACAGTGTGGTATAGGAGAAAGAGCTTTGGATTTTGAATTAGAAGACCCAGATTTGAATCCCAGCTCTCCTATTTAGTACCTGGGTGATTATAGGCAAGTCACTTGGACCTCAACTCTGGGCCTTAGTTTCATCCCCTGTAAAATAAACGGATGGATTAGATCAGGGGTTCTTAACTTGGGGTCCATTAACTTTTAAGAATATTTTTGATAACTATTGCACACACAAATATTCCAATAGAATTGATTTCCTTTGTAATCTTGTGTATTTTGTTTTATGCATTTAAAGACATGATTCAAAGAAGGGGTCCATCAACTTCTCTAGATTGCTGCCAAAGGAGCCCAGGATACACAAAAAGGGTTATGAACCCCTGGACCACACTAGATGACCTCTAAGACCCCCTTCTGGCTCTAGTCCTAGGACTTGGAAGCTGATGGGGGAGAGGGGAAAGAGAACCCTCAAAGATGGCCAGCAAGGGCCCTTGTGGAGGCCATGGGATGGCACTGACCAGGGCCTCACCGAGGGCTGTTGTTTGTAGTACAAGGCCAGCTGTAGCCGCCATTTTATCTCAGAGGATGCCCAGGCCCGGCAGGACAAGGAAGTATTTCAGCAGAACATGAAGCGGAGACTGGAGTCCTTCAAGTCCACCAAGCACAACGTATGCCTCTCTAAGAGCAAGCTGCGGCTCCGCAAGGCTGGCCGGAAGGTGAGTCCCTCCCTGGTTGTCTCTCTCCCCCGGATTCTCCCAGCCTCTTCACAGTGCCAGACATCATCCTTTCCCTTTGTGGCTGCTGCTTGAGGCTGATGCTTGTGGGCAGTTCTGGGCACTCTGCCCTTCCCTGCCTGGAGCCAGCTCGGGAGAGCAAGAGAGCTGTGGAAAACAGGCAACCTGAGATGGGCCATTGTGAGGAAATGACAAACCATCAAGTGTTACATAAATGTAAGAGATGATGGTGATGATGACTGCAGGGGCCCAGCTGACTGCTTGGGCAGCTTGACTCTTTTAAGGACTCCGGGATTATAGCTTGTCTGTGTATCCCCTTAACCCTTCCAAGTCCATCTTATAGTCCATTCTCTAGTAGAGGTAGATAGAAAGATAGATAGATAGACAGACAGATAGATAAATAAATGAGATGGATAAGATAGATAGATAGATAGATAGATAGATAGATAGATAGATAGATAGATAGATAAATAGACAGATAGATAGATAGATAGACAGACAGACAGACAGATAAATAAATGAGATGGATAAGATAGATAGATGAGATGGGTAAGATAGAGAGACATATAGATGAGATGGATTAGATAGACAGATAAATGGATAGATGAGATGGATGGGTTGATGATAGATTTAGATAGATATAAATAGATGATCGATACAAATAGATATAAATAGATGATAGATATAGATACCTAGGTGACAGATAGATGAGATAGATGGATTGATGAAAGATTTAGATGGAAGTAGATAGATGACAGACACAAATAGATAAATAGATATATTAGATATGGATAGATAGATTATAGATAGATGAGAGATGGATTGATGATAGATATAGATAGATGACAGATAGAGATAGATGAGATGGATAAGACAGATGAGACTATGATAGGTTTAGATATAAATAGATAGATATAGATAGCTAGATGACAGATAGATGAATAGATGGATAAATAGATAGATGAGAGCACTTGTTAAATGCTTACAATGTGCCAAGAGATGTGCTATGTGCCAGGAGTACAAACACAAGCAGAGAGAAGACAGTCCCCATCCTAAAGAAGGTGTACATTCTGATAAGCAAAGAGAGCAAATAAAAGAGAGCTGAAAAGTAGAGGGTGTGTGTGGAAGAGATCAGAGTGGGAGAAGGTGCCCAAGTAGAGACAAGGTGAAGAAGACGTCCTGGGAATCATGGGCCGGAGTAGGGGTGAAGTCAGCATGGCTGGCATAGGTGCTTCCTCAAATGGAAGTTCTAGGGAGGAGTTTTCCAATCAGAGAAAGAAGTCAGCATGAGATGGCTCAGGGGTGGAGGTGGAGAATTCATCTGGGGATCACAGGCTGAGCTGGGTTTGGAAAATACTGGTTTTGGGGTCAGAGGGTCTGGGTTGAATCCCAACCTTGCTACTAGCCTGACCTCATACCAATCCCTTACTCTCTGTACCTCAGTTTCCTCATCTGTAAAATGAGATGATTGGAATACATTATCCCTAAGGTTCCTTCGAGTCCAAATCCTATGACCTTATCTATGATTGAGAGTAAATTGGGGAAACTGGGGAGTGGCATACAACATCTTTGTTACCTGCTATGGAAGCAATGTGCTTAGGCCCTGAGACTTGGATTTGGAAAAAGAAAGCCAGAGACCCTAAGGCCAGAGCCATATTTGTATCTTGGCCCATTTGATAGCCTTGAGTCTCAGGGAGGGACTTCTTTTGCAACTGAGGGAGTCATCTCTGTCTGGGCTGAGAATATGGATGACCACCTTCCGCCTGATCTCCAGTGGGGCTTGCCCTACAGCTTGGTACCCCACCAGGGTAGCGAATTGGAATTTGGGTGCCAAGCCCCAGGGGTGACTTAGTCTTTTTTCCTTTGTCTCCAGAAGGATGGGTCAGCAGACAAAGATACTCCTAATGGGAAACCTCATCGAGCCTCAAACTTACCGGACACAGGCAAGCTAAGGGAGAAGGAACCGGGTGGAGGAGTGATGTGGCACTGGCCAGTGAAGCAGTTAATCAGCCAGCCTACCATGTGCCCAGGCCTGGGCCAATGTTGTAGGAAATACGACATGATGGCATGGTGGGAAGAGTACTGAGTTAAGAGTCAGGAGTCAGTTGTAAGGAGACTGGGAAGATAGGAAGGGGCCAGGTGGAGAAGGGCTTTTAAAGCCAAACAGAGGTTTTTATAGTTGATCAGGGAGGTAGTAGGGAGCCACTGAAATTTATTATGTTGGGAGGAGTGACTTACCTTTGAGGAAGATCACTATGATAGCTGAATGGAGGAAGGATTGTAGTGGGGAGAGACTGGAGATAGGGTTGTAACCAGCAGGCTATTGCAGTAATCCAGATGTGAGGTGATGCAAGTTGGTGCCTGCGAGGTGGCATTCTGAGGGGAGGGAAGGGGACATACATGAGAGGTGCTATGAGGCAGAGACAGGTTCCATGCAGCCTAGCTAGTTGCCTCCCTGCCTCCTGTAAGAAGCAAGTTCTTTCCATGGTGTGTTGACTTGTAGCATATCTCTGTAGGAGACCCAGGGGCAGGGACGAGGCTGAACCAGGTCCCTGGGAGAGCTAACCTGGGGTTTTGGAATAGAGGGACCTAGAGGTTTTCATTTCCGTCAGCTCAGTGTAAGTCCAGTGTGACAAGGCAGCCAGATCAGTTAATGCAATCACAGAAGGGAGATGCTTGCCCCACCGTCTTCAGCTCAGGGCTAACCACATGTGGAGTGTTGTGTTATTCTTTGGGTGCCACATTTTAGGGAGCATACTGGCAGTGGATAATGTATGGGATTTGAAGTCAGATATTAAAATCATGGTTTTGTTCCTTACCTCTGTGATCTTTGGCACATCACATTTGGGATTCACCAGTAAAACCGAAGGGATGGAATTATTTAATCCCATGTTGAATTAATCAATTATTTAATGTTAAAGGACCTTCCTAGTTCCAAACTTTATAATTCTTTTTATTTTTTTTGGCTAGGCAATGGGGTTAAGTGACTTGCCAGGGTCACACAGCTAGTAAGTGTCAAGTGTCTGAGACCAGATTTGAACTCAGGTCCTCCTGAATCCAGGGCCAGTGCTCTATCCACTGTGCCACCTAGCTGCCCCCCAAACTCTGTAATTCTATGACAAGCTAGAACACTTCTAGAGGAAGATTAACAAGATGGGGAGGGTGGGACAGCTGGATGCTATAGTGGATAGAGCACCAGCCCTGGAGTCAGGAGGACCTGACTTCAAATTCGGCCTTAGACACATACTAGCTGTGTGACGCTGGGCAAGTCACTTAAGCTGGTTGCCTCCAAAAACAATGGTGAGGAAAATTGAAACCAGCCCATTCATGGGAATGAAATTCCTCATGACACAAGGTATTTAGCAGAACCTGCTTACCAGAGATGATAATAAGAAGGCATTCCATTGCAGTAGATGCCCTCTGAGGTCCCTCCCCTGTGGTGAGGTTCTGTGATTCCCCAAGAAAGGAAGCAGCTGGATTGAGTCCCCTACCCCTGCTTCTGTTCCCGTCCAGCTGCGGTGATTTTAGCAGTGGAGTCCGAAGAGGAGAGTGACAGCTCGGAGACAGAGAAGGAGGATGATGAGGGCATTGTCTTTGTGGCCCGGGCCACCAATGAGGTTTTCCGAGAACACAAGGTGCCAGGTAATGGTATGTCTCCCCTATCCCCCAAGAAGTACCAGGATATACCCTCATTCCCTTCTCTTTTTAGAGATTCTCCCCCCTAAGCTGACCCCAAATGACTCCCTTTACCCAATGGCCAAGCACACCTGGCTCTAGACAGAGTAAGGGAGGCCAGCTTGACCAAGTAGAAGAACCTGAATCCACCTGGACCCAAATAATTTAATTTTTCAGTTTGACTAACTAAACTCTCTGTATGGGAATCTGTAGATTTGAAACAGCACTGGACGGAAGGTAGGTATGCAGGGTGATGGAGAGACCCTGGGCTTGGAGTCATGAAGACCTGAGTTCAAATACCATCCCAGACTCGTACTAGTTGTATGATCCTGGATAATTCCCCTAACTTCTCTGTTTCAGTTTCCTCACCTATAAAATGAGGGGGTTGGGCTCCATGACCCCGGAGGTCCCTTCCAGCTCTGAATCTGTGATTCTGTGGATCAGGTGACCTGGGCTTTTGTTCCCAGCTCCATCACCTGCTGTATGACTGGACAAATTGATTCCCATCTCTGGGCCTCAGTTTCTTCATCTGTGAAACGAAAGAGTTGGGCCAGCTATCCTTAACGTGCCTTCTAAGTAGCAATCCACGATCCTATGACTGCCTATAACTGCTTGGCCCAAATGCCATCTTTATTGTAAACCACTAGGCCTTTCAGCAGATGTAACGTTACTTTTAATCATAGCGTCAAACCTGTTGGGAACAGCAGTGGTTTTTCTTCCTGCTTGTCCATGGGGCTGCATATGGGTGGGTCGGTCCACAAGTATGCACTGAGCCTCTGCTGTGCTCCAGGTATGTGAGCCGGGTTTGGTTGCAGTTCTCTGGGTGGGGTGGCGCTTCCTCACTGGGACTCACTCCTTCTAAACCTGTTGCTCACTTCATCTGTCACTTCCCCTATTCTCAACTCACCTCAATTAATGCACTATTCATCTCCTTTGTCGCCTGCCCCAAGATAAAGAACATTTCTGGGTTTCCCTCCTTGGGTCCCAGATACTTCTTAATCCCCCTCTTGGTCCAGATAGCTTTGACTTGGAGAGAGAGAAAGAGATGTTAAAGTAAGACCACCCCTTAAGGGTATCATTCCCATTTTACAGATGAGGAAAGTAAGGCTCAGAGGTGAAGTGACTTTTCCATGGTAGCCTGGCTAAGTAAGCATCAGTGAAGAGATTTGAATCCAGGTCTTCCTGATTCTAAGACCAATATTTTAGCCATCATGTCACAAATCCAAGCTTTTCTACTTACCGCTGGGGTCATGATAGCCCTCACTCTAGGACTCAGTACCTATTACACAGGTCTGCAGGCCTACAGAGCAGGGAAATGGAGGTCAGGAATGGCCCTTGGTCAGCCTGGCCTGGAGTTCTGTCCCTTTGTTCCCCACTGGCTTAGAGTGGGGGGTGACTAGGTTAGCAGCCAGGCTGGTTCTAGGGCAGGATGTTATTGTCTGTGCAGCGGTCATATAGGCATTGACCCATACCAAGGAGTGACTTGACTTCTTCCCTGTGCTGTCTCTATTCCAAGGCTCTTCCTCACTGCCTGCTCAGTTCCTGCCCTTGACTCAGTTTGTCCCTGTGACAGATCATAGAACCAGTGTCCTTAGAGATTGTCTAGTTCAACCTCTTTGTTTTATAGAGGAGAAACTGAGGCTCAGAGAGATGGCACCTTCAAAGTCACATAGGTGTTAAATGGCGGAGCCAGGCAAACTCCAACCTTTGACCCCAAATCCTGGGTCCTTTCTACTGTTCCACATGGAATAATAACAATACTGAGCTGAGAATGCAGTCCCAATAGATTCCCTAGGAGAGGAGCCAGTGAGCCCAGAGGCCTTCCTTGCTTGCTTTCCCTAAGTCCCCTTGGACCACGTGTCTGCTGAGCTGTGTGCTATGTCCCCAGGGAGCATGGAGGTGTGCCCAAGCCCACGCATCATTCCCCCTTCACCAACCTGTGCTGAGAAGGAGCTGCCCTGGAAGAGCGGGCAGGGGGACCTGGCAGTGTACGTGTCATCAGAGACCACCAAGATTGTGCCTGTGGACATGCAGACGGGTTGGAACCAAAGCATCTCATCCCTGGAGAGCCTGGCGTCTCCCCCCTGCGCCCAGGCTGCCCTGAGAGCAGCCCACCCTCTGGCCTGTGCCCCGCCTCGGGGAGACGAGCTCCGGGACCCCCTGGCTGCTCTTGTTACTCCATCACCTGAACCCCATGCTGGCTTCACCTTCGCCCCCAGCCTCGCCAAGGCAGGCCGCTCCCGTAGCGAGAGCAGCGCCGATGCCCCTGAGCAGCAGGAACTGCAGCCGCTGATGGCACCAGAGGACCGTGGGTGCCTCAGTCCAGGCACTGCCAATGCCCGCTGGCTTATCCAGTTCAACAGAGCCGGTCGGCTGTAGCCCTGAGACCTGAGGGGTCAGAGGCGGGAAATGGGGAAGAGAGGGAAAGGAAAGAAGGAAGATGAGGAGAGTCCCCATATGGTGTTAAGGGGTCCAGAGAATGTACTTGGCAGGGGTCAAGGCCAAGGCTGAACTTGGGCTGAGTACCAGCCACCACAGAAGTGGGGACCCTCCTCTACCACACCACCCTGACCTTCTTCTTCATCACGGCTTCTAAGCTACCCTCTAGATGAAGAAGAGAATATGGAGCTGAAATCTGAGCATGCCTGGGGCCCTGGGTGATTGGATCTTTCCTTCTTTGTTTCCCTGGGGCAGCCCCTAACTCTGGCTCTGTTCAGAGGCCTTCAAGTGGCTGCTCCTCACCCAGCTGCCCTTTGCCCTTCCTCCTGCGTTATCAGCATCTACCCTCACTCCCCTTCAACTGAGGAGACCCGTGAAGAGTCCTTCCCAACACTGGGCCAGGTTGGGAGGGATCAGGGGTTGGCCTGGGAATCCCCGAGCCCCCTGCCGGTCGGGGTGTCTCAGCATTTGGGAACCTGAGGCTTCATCCACGCACCCTCATTCCCCTCAACTGCTTTGGACCGGGTGTGTGTGTGTGTGTGTGTGTGTGTGTGTGTGTGTGTGTGTGTGTGTATGTATGGTGTGTAGGGTGGAGGGAGGGGGAGATAGCTGCCCCCCCAATCTCTTCCATAGCACAGGCTTGGCCAGGTACCTAGAATAAGGTTCCTGGGGGTCAGTTACCCAACTTCTCTGAGAGGCCTGATAGGGACTATTCCTCAGGTGGGCAAATAGGAAACCCAGAGTGGGCTAGGGGATGGGGACAACAGTGATGACCTTCCTGGATGCCTTGGTTTCCAGTACAAATAGCTGCTTCCTTTTCCTGCCCTCCTCAAGCCAGCTTCTCCTTTCCCCTCCTCATTTTGTTCCCCACTTTTCTACTTCTCCCCATTTGACTGCTGGATGTTGTAATCATAGATCCTCTTTTTCCCTAAGGCCTCCAGGCTGGGCCTAGGCCTTCGATCAGGGCTTCCCCAGACATGGAATCACTCTTGTGTAAGAGAACAGGCTGCATGGTTTTCTGTCCAAAGGGCCATCTCTGATCAGGGCTGTCTGTGTGTGTGGGTCTTCTGTGGGAGGCTGAGGAGGTAGAGGTCGTAGGTGTTCCTCTGTTATCCTCACCCATATATACCCCATGAGGAAGAGAGCCCTCCCTCCTAAAACTATTGTTTGGATCCGCAATTGAGTGGAAGGGTCTGGTCATTGTAACAATTAAGTTGGGGCTGTCAGACCTGTACAGTGAGTGATCCTTCTTTCGGGTTAGTCTCTGCATCCCCTTTTCCCCCATTCAGTTTTTTGTATCTCAAACCCGAGAAACATTAAACATCTCTCAGATGGATGCATGGCCTTTCTCCATGTGTCTGGTGGCTATCAGGGGCCGTTCAGGCTGCGTGATGCTCCTTCCCATACAAGGGGTGACAGCAGCGAAGGGGGGTGGACTGAGGCTGCGGCCAACTTTGGGGGACGGAAGCTACAAGGAGGGGACTGGCAGCGTCTCATGGTCCCTCCACTCCCAGCGCTCCCAGGTACTTCTGGACAAGGGTCTCTCCATAGGTACGGATTGAGGTGGCTTCTCAGCCCTGTGATGATGCTAAGGAGTTTGGGCTCTCACAGCTGCTGAGTGCCAGTTCAAGAGCTATGCCGGATGGGATATTCCCAGGATGAGCCTCATGGGGACTCCCTCCTTCCCTTATCCAAGTTGGAAGCCAACTCTACTTGCCCCCAACGTGTTCCCAGAAAGAATTCTAAAGATGAGGGTGGATGGGATGGTCTGAAGGGCCTGAAGGAAATGAATCCTAGCTAAGGCTTAGATCAAGGCCCAGGACACTCCAAAGGGACCCCCTGAAAACCAATGGTGGGTAGCTTTCAGGAACCAAATAACCTTCCTACTGCGAAGTCTGATCAAATCACTCTCCCACTCAGAAACCTGTGATGTTCCATTATTATCATCATCATTACTATTATTATTATTTTTGTTCTAGACTTGTGATGTTATTGCTGCAAACTTCCACTGTGGAAATTCCTTTCACTAATCTGTACTTTATAGTCACAGAAGGTGCCTGGGGCACTCAGATATTAAGTGATTTACCCATGATCGCAGGGCTAGTGTTTGTCAGAGGCAAGATTTGAATCTAGGTCTTCCTGGCCCCAAGATTAGCTCTCTTATAGAGCTCTGACTTAAAGTCAGGAAGACATGTATTTGGACCCTGTCTCAGATGCTGAATAGGTGTGTGACCCTGGGCAAGTCATTTAACCACTCAGCCTCAGTTCCCTCTTCTGTAAAATGGAACTAACAATAACACTTACTTCACAGGGCTATTATGAAAATCAAAGGAAATAATATTTTAAAGTGCTTTGTAAATCTTGAAGTGCTACATAAATGTTAGCTATTATGATTTTTATGCAAAAATCCAATCCTTAATCTGGCATTTAGGGACCTTCATAATCTGCCTCCATCCTACTTTTCCAGCCTTATTTCACATCACTGCCCCCTCCCCCCAGCCACACACACACACACACACACACACACACACACACACACATACACACACACACACACCCCACTACACTCCAGCTAACCTCGACCTTTCTCCACACATGGGTTCCCACACATGGATTCCATACATGTATAACTTTTTCCTCATCCCTGCCCCTTGGAATCCTTCTTCTCTGCTAAGACTCCACCTCCTCCACGTTGTCCCTCCCAGCCTGACCTCTCTACCCTTCCCCCTGTTGCTGCAAGCATCATCCCCCTCCTCCCATTTTTCTAGAGGACTTTGTTTCCATCTCTCTTTTTCTCCTATCTCACAGTACCTTGTATCTATATACAGGTCATATTCCCCAGTGGACAGTAAGCTCCTTGAGGTCAGGGAGGCATTGTATCTCTGGATCACCAGCATGTAGCACAAGGCCTTGCACATAGTTAAGTGCTTAATACATTTTGGTTGAACTGAACAAATGAGAGGGAGGGTTGCTTTATACACTGGGAAGTAAACTTTGGGCATCTGTTTTCCCAAGGGCTGATGCATAATAAAAAGAAAAGGAATGTGGTAGGGAGATATGACCAATAAAGATCTTATCTTACCAACTGTTATAGCAAAATAGACAATGAATATTTATCAGTTATCTACTCTATGCCAGGCCCTGTGCCAAGCACTGGGTTTACAAAGAAAGGTAAAAGACAATCTTTGTTCTCAAAAGAGTTCACAGTCTAATGGGGGAGATAAGATACAAACAATGATATACAAGCAAATGTTTTTGTTTCAGTCATATATACAATTCTTTGTGACTCCATTTGGGGTTTTCTTGCCAGAGATACTGGAGTGGTTTGCCATTTCCTTCTCCAGCTCATTTCACAGATAAAAAAACTGAGGCAAACAGGGTGAAGTGACTTTCTCAGGGTCACATAGCTAGTAAGTGTCTGAAGCAGGTTTTGAACTCACAAAGTTGAATCTTGGGGGCAGCTAGTGGTGCAGTGGATAGAGCACTGGCCCTGGATTCAGGAAGACCTGAGTTCAAATCCAGCCTCAGACACATAACACTTACTAGCTGTGTGACCCTGGGCAAGTCACTTAACCCCATTGCCTAGCCCCCCCCCCAAAAAAGTTGAATCTTCCTGACTCCAGGCCCACTGTTCTATCCACTCTGTCCCCTAGCAGCCTGCAAGCCAGAATATACAAGAGAAATCAGGAGGTAATCTCAGAGGGAAGGCTCTAGCATTAAGTGGGGTCAAGAAAAGCTTCTTGAAGAAGGTGGAATTTGAAGGAAGCCAGGGAAGCCTGGAAGTGGAGATGAGGAGGAAGAGCACTTCAGGCCTGACGTTGACCAGAGTCAAGAGATGTCTTGTGTGAGGAATCACATGGAGGTTGGTGTCGCCAGGTCATAGAACACACAGGGGGAGGTAAGGTGTCAGGAGACTGGGAGGGCAGGAGAGGGGCAGGTCATGAAGGACTTCGAACACCAGGTGGAAGAGTTTGTATTTGATGTGTCATTTTGGCTGGAATTGGTCCATGTGGGGGAGGGAGCGGGAGCTAAGTCTGAATAGATAATGGTGTGGGGAGGGGGACAAAATTGTGGAAAGACTTAAATACTGACCTATCACCCAATCAATCAATAAGCAATTATTAGGTGCCTGCTATGTGAGAGGCAGAGTATTACAGGGGATAGAGGGTAAAAAGTGACACCCTTGGTCTCAAGGAACTTACATCCTGTAGTAGGAGGAGGCACGTACACATACAGGCATGTGCAAAATAAGATAAATACAAGGGGATTTGTACTTTAACCTGGTAGGTAGTTTGGCACAGGCACACCAGCACCTTTTATGGAAACAGAATAATCGCGTTCTCCGCATCCCCTGTCTTCGAACTGCTCCTCAGAGCCCTTGACAGGTACAGAGCCATAGGCTGAGGGGATTAGTGGTTTCACCATGAGATGTGCACAGGACTCTGAGGCTCTAGGATTCATGCATATGAGATTCCTACTTCCCTCCCATGAGAGGCAACGTAGTACAGTGGAAAAAGCCCCTGGCTGGGAGTCAGAACACATAAACACTAGTCCAAGCTCTCCCATGAACCACCTGTGTGACCCAGGACAAATCCCTTCTCTTCTCTGGGACTTAGTTTTCCCATCTGCAAAATGGGGGAATTGGTTTAGATTGTCTCTGCCATCTGATTTGATAGTCCTGATATCTGGGTACCATATGCCCATGCCACCTACATGCTCTGGATGTACACTGTGATATGCCTAGTGGCAGAGAAATGGCAAGGTCCATGGTCCTGCCAGGAGTTTTTATTTTTGGAGGACAGCAAGCTAAAATGTGCCTTAGGATTATCTAGTCCAAACCTCTTATTTTACAGATGGGGAAACTGAGGCCCAGACCAGTGAAGTGCATCAGATAGGTAGTCAGAGGAAAGTCTGGCTGTGCCTGTTGATCCACATCCAGAACGGAACGAACAGTTTGCTGTTCTCTGCCTTGCTCCTCTGTGCCTGTTCCTCCTGGTACCCACTTCGAGATTCTATCCCCAAATGAGGGAAAGTGGGGGCCTGTGCCGTACCTGAGGGTGAACTCTTGCTCTGCAGCATCCTGAAGGGAGTAGAGACATAGTGGGACAACAGATTCCAGCGGAGAAAAGAAACGGGATTTGGAGGGGGTAAAATTGTCTGGGAGGGGCTCAGTGAACAGAAGAAGTGCTAGAACAGGAGGCATCCCAGCAAGCTAGTGGAAAGACCCACCACAGCATACCAGGAGGAGATTCTGAAGCCCAGGTGGTGCAGCAGGCAAACACCAATACCTGGACCCACGAGTGTCTCACTGAGGGTGGGGAACTGGTGGAAACCAGTTTAGAAAATCACCAGGTGCCTCAGCAAAACTAAGGGAAGCAGCACTCCAAGGGGCACCAGGTGGATAAACACCCTACGACATCCATCTGAAAGGGGCTGAAGAAAGCGAAAGGAAGGAAAGGCCCAGGTGAACAGGAAATCTCCAGGAGCTACCCAATTCTACCCCTAGAAGTTCCAATGTTGCTGATCCCAGCCCAACACCAGGTAAGCTGCCAGAACCCTATAGACTCCAACTGCCAACACTGGAGGCCCCAGCACACAAAGCCAGAGACCAGGCCCTAGGCTCCCAACACAAGAAGCTTGGGTCAGTGCCCTCTGCTCCCCAGCAGGAGAGCTCAATCTCTTTAAAGGCCAGGAAATAAGCAAACACCATGAGCAAAAAGAAATGTATGATAGATTCTTATTATGGGAAGAGTGAAGATCAAGGCAGAAATTCTGAAGAGGACAACATTGTCAACAAACCCACATCTGGAACCTCAAAAGGGAATATGAACTGGTCTGAAGCCCAAAAAGCCTTCTTAGAAGAGCTCAAGAAGGATTTTAAAAGTCAAATGAGAGAGGTAGAAGAAAAAATGGGAAAAGAAATGAGAGGTATGCAAGAGAGAGTCAATAGCTTGGAAAAGGAAGGACAAAAATTAACTGTAGAAAACAAGTCCTTAAAAAATACAATTGGCCAACTGGAAAAAAAGTACACTGAAGAAAACAAGTCCCTAAAAAATACAATTGGCCAAATGGGGAAGGAGGTACAAAATCTAATAGAAGAAAACAATTTGTTAAAAATTAGAATTGGGCAAATGGAAGCTAATGACTCTATGAGAGAGCAAGAATCAGTCAAAAAAACAAAAGAATGAAAAAATAGATGAAAACATAAAATACCTCATTGGTAAAACAACTGACCTGGAAAATCGATCCAGGAGAGACAATTTAAAAATTATTGGTCTACCTGAAAATCACGATGAAAAAAAGAGCCTGGACAGTATCTTTCAGGAAATCATAAAG